TTCAGACTGTGGATCAACAGATGTGAGCTTTTCCAAAACCTTGACAACTGCTGTTCATCTCCTGAAAGTTCTGGTTACATTTGTATAGCACAATTACAACAACACTGCTGCCCATAGTGCTTCACAGACACAAAAGAAATAACAAAATAAACCAGCATAAAATACACAAAAATGCATATAAAATGTAAGACTTTAAAACTCAGTTTGTCTTTAGACTTGATATAAAAACCTGCAACGATTGAACTGGTCTAATGTAAACTATTCCATAGTTTGGGAGCAGCAACAGCAAAATCCCGGTCTCCCCTGGTTTTCAGACGACGAGACGGTTTTTAACAGAATGAAAAAGAATGCCTTTCAGTAAACAATTTTCCTGTAGGGAAATGTGTCCTCTGCATTTTATTCATTCTTCCAATGCCACTAGCACCGGTGGAGCATCCAGGGATCCATGGTGCTGCTTAGCTTGGTCAGGACTAACTGAGTTGAAGGAGATTACTCATTTTACCTACCGTATCTGACTAATACCTGTATCATACACATTTGTATCCATAATGTACCAGTCATGTCTGTTTGTGTTCATTTCTGTTTCACTGCTGCCTCAGTTTGATTTCTTCACACAGCAGCCTTCTGATTTCCTGGGAGAAATAGCAAAGTGAAGCTTATATTTCTGTGTCTTTGCTTTAGATTTGTTAGTTTAGTTTAGTCTCTATTTGATTCAACTCTTATTCTAAACCTGCTTTTTTTACACATTTTAGCTAATGTTGCTTTTCACCCTATGACCCAGTTTAGCACTGAAGAGAGCAAACCGCAATTAACTGAGTGCTAGACTAATATATCACATGCTCTGCTTTTGTAAGAGTCCCAAAGTGTCCCTGAGGGCCACTGCGGTGGCTTCAGTCTGCAGCACTGACACTTTAGACCTCTTCATCAGTGATGATGAGCAGAACTGTTGGACTTGATCCCTCAGACACAATCCTATCAGCAAAAGAATCAGGATGTACTTCACTACCCTAATCATTGTTGGGGAAGACAAAACATTCTCTGCATTCTCAATATCAGTGACTAAATCTTCATTCTATTTCATGTGACTCAAGATTAGAGTGTGTGTGTGGGCACATGGGGCAGAGGACATGATTTAGTCCATATCTCAGTGGACCAATGTTTACATGGCAAATATAAATGTGCAAATGTGAGGAGAGCTGGCTCACATATCTGGCAAGTTTCATCGTAATTAAAGACAATTTCTCTCAATGATTCCACAGGCAGCTATTTAGGTCTGAAATTAGCCACGCATCAGACCACAGCAGTCTCGTTGTGTGTTGTGTTTTTCACATGCCCTCAAACAACGCACAGCTGCTGTCTGTATATTTAGCTATATTCTCAGGGAGATACCTGTGCAGCCAACCATTGCATTTCACCCAATCCTGCGAATGGATGAGGCCTACAAGGGCACAATAATGACAGCAGTAATTACATATCCCCCAGCAAACTGGGCAACCTAACCCTCCGTGGCCAATTCTGTCTTCTGAATGTTTAATATCATTTTAGTGGTATCCCCGATGAGGGTGTTACACATCCAAATGATTTGCTCAGGGCTCATATTTGGTTTCACTTCCAGGCTTTAAATTTCATCACCTCTGATGCAAATGTGTGAGTGCAGATACAGGTGCGATGTCCTGCAGCTGCAGCTACGAGTCTGCTCCAGTTCTCCAGCTGTCCCTCCTCAACCTTCTTTTTACACCTTCTATATGTATATATACTGCTGACAAAGAAACATATAGGATAGAAGTATTGAGTAGAAGTTCTCAATTCTGAATAAACAAACTTCACTAACTGTTGTGCAATATTATTATTATTTTTTTAATCTTAGTGAAAAACCACACTCTAATACTGGTGAACCTTTGAGTTGTTATTACAATATTAAGTCAATAATTTATGGGTGCAAATGACATGATCAGATATTGTACATTCTGTATTCAGTATGGGTATTTTGGGAGTGACTTCACTGGTGGCTTGTGGTGGAACATGACATTAACACAGTAACAGCTGTAGAGTCGTGGCTGCATGTGCTTCGGAGGAAGGTTATCTGTCGCACATGATTTATCTGCCTGTTTCCTCCAGTCAAACCAGGCTTCTTATTAGTAAAGGTTGTGGGCTAGTTATCAAGGAAGAGGGGCGCAGGCTGCCTTCTAAATGACATTGAGCAAAGACTACATTCAGCCTACACGGTCTGGCCTGCACTTGATAGTGAGAAAGTAAATTATTGATGCATTTTAATTTGTCTGTAGAGGCTGTAACAGCAGACCTTCTGCTGGCTTAACATAAAGTAATGACGCAGCGTAAGAAAGACTTACCCAGGCTTAGTGCCACCGTAGTGACAGGGGCTCTGCTTCTAGCCCAAGTGCCATAATACCCATTTAAATAGTGACATCATTATACAAATCTTTCGGCCGCAAGAAGAGTGTGACAAATTCCTTCTACTCTAATTAAGAAAAAGCTTAATTACCAAAATGTATCAAGGTATTAGCTAGAATCCCACAGCTGAGACCAATTAATCATGAGTCATAATTCATTTTTCTAAAGTTTGTGACCTGCAAATGCACCTATAGTGCAATAATGTTCACCAAAATGAGCCAATATAATCAGCTTAGGTAGTTAGGCTGCAGTCCAACACCAGCAGTATAATAATTCTTAAATTTGAGTGATGCAATAGGAGGCAAGGGCTATAGCATTGTGGTATCTGGCACAAATGTAACTGCATGTTCAATTTGGCTCAATAATAAAAGGGTTTTTTGACAAAACAACAATGAATTTGTAAGCCTTGACTTGCTGTACATAAGCTGATAGCAAAGCTTATCCAAAAAAAATTTCTTAAGCAACTTCTTGACTTCCTGTCTTTGAGTGACCCAGCGGATACTGAGTGTTCACAAAGTTTATAGTCAGCCACAGAAGTGGAAATATACTATACATCCCTTAAGTAAAGGTACTACTAATAGTAGTATAATCAAGTAAAAGTACTGAAATCATTCATTGGTAAAAGTCTGAACAAGTTAAAGCTGCACTAACTGACTTTATTTTTGTATTCATTACGAAAATGCTATCCATGTCCGTGTAGGGCATTGGGATATACGTCCTTTTGAAGAAAAAGTAGCGCAGATTTGTGCTGGCGTGACATTATATTTTCGATCGAGTTTTGATGAAACAAGGAAGAGAATGTGTTTCGGGTCGCAGATTGTGACCAATCACAGCGCACCACTAGCCCCCACTTTCGTGAAAAATCTGCAGGTCCGTTAGCACAGACAGCTGAGTTAGCACAACAAGCCGAGGAGCTAACCTGAAGCTTCCTTGTCTTCGTCACCGGTTACTGCTTACACAGCGAGACACCCATCCAAAAGAAAGTCCCGTTCCTCCGCGCTTCCCGGTTCTATCGTTCTATGGTCACGCCATCCACGTGTAAATCCATATCCATGTATTTATCCATATTGCGAGACGCTAGCTCCGTCCCAACAGTGGGTGTGTGTGGGGGCGATAGCTTCGTGGGTGCGGGGAGGGGAGCAGAAAGAGAGAGGCCAACGGGTCTGCGGCTTCAAAATCCCAAAGTCAGTTAGTGCAGCTTTAAGCTATTGTGTTTTGTTAAATAATTGATTGACAATATTATTTTAGACATCTTAAGCATTGTTGAAAAATAAATTTTGGGAAAGTCTGGGTGTCTTTGCTTAGACTGCTTAGTTTATTTTAGTGTAATCAGCTTTTGTAAGATAAGAGTTCCTTTATTCGTCCCACAGTGGGGAAATTTTGATGTTGCAGTGCACATACAGGACAGTAGTAAGAGCACACAGGGAGTACAAAAAATAAACAAAATACAAAATAAGTAGTAGCTATGTTTCTTAACATAATGTGGTAGTGGAGAGTTATATACTGTACATATAGTACAAGATAATAAGTAGATAAGTAAAGTGACATTGTTTAGTGGACATTCTGAAGTTGCAGTATTGCACATTGCACATATTTAAGTATTTACTTATTTACAGATGAATGAGATTTACAGGATCAGCAGTTCTCATTGTACAGTCTGACAGCTGCCGGAAAGAAAGACCTATGGAACCTCTCCTTCACACAGCGAGGGTGAATTAGTCTATCACTGAAACTGCTCTCAAGAGCAGAGAGATCCTGCAGGGGGTGACAGTCGTGATCCAGCATAGATGTAAGTAGTCTCCCTTCATACCTTTGTGACTTTTTCTCTATCTACATTTTGTTTATTACTATGCCATTATTTACTTATGAAACCAATTTATTTTTAAAGTGTGAATTCATTCTACATTTAACTTCTTGAGCAGATATTTTGACTGCTCCATTATTTTCAATATACGTTGTACAATGTAAATTTAGCCATTTCCGGTCACTTGTCACTGGTCTGAACTGGTTCTGGTCCAGTTTGATTTTCGACCAGGGCAGAGAAAGTGCTAGTTACTATAGCAACGCGCAGTTAACCTAAAGAAGTTAGCATTTAGCCTTTCAACAAACTGTTATTTTTTTTTTTTCTGTATTTCAAGTTATATTCAGGAGCTTTAACACGTATTAACAGTAAGTAAAGGAAACAAATAAATACATAAACAAACGTATAAATTACATACTTTTACTAAAACTGGTGTAAAACTGACCGACTTTTTATTTTTTTCAGAATTTAATTTAGTTTAAATGGGAGCCGTCAAAATGACCGCTCTGGGAGTTCTAGAATTCTGAGAGTCCACGCGTTAAAATCATAGACTGTAAATAAGTAAAACCAAACAAAGGCCTTTGTGATAATGCTGCTCCGCGCATCCAGCAGGAGTCAGAAGACGTCCGCGGTCTCTGAGGTGAAGCTGGGGCGGAAGTCATGAAGACGGCGCAGAGGCAAAACTTTTCAGAGACCAGGGAGAGAGTACTCCTGAGAGAGGGGGAAGAAAAAAAACTTTATATGTCGAGTTCGCTTTGAAAAACTCTTTGTTTTCTGTGCCGCGACAATGGGGCTCCCTACGCTGGAGTTTAGTGACTCATTTTTGGACAGCCCAGACTTCAGAGAGAGACTCAAGTGCCATGAAATAGAACTGGAGCGAACCAATAAATTCATCAAAGATCTGATCAAAGATGGCAACATGCTCATAACGGCGCTAAAAAGTAAGTACAAGCCATGGATCTATCATGATATCACTCCACGCAAGCAATGCAGCCTGCGTCTTGTAATAAGAGATGGCCACTTCTGCTGCAGCATTGGACTGACCACACTGCGGAAAGAACAGGGAGCTAATAAAAAGCATTAGAATGAATGAATGTGAGTGAGAGATAGAGATGTAGCCTCTGATCGTCCGCTGCATTCATCTCCGTTTGTTTCGCTGGCTGCGTTGCACAAGGGGCGGTTTTAATTGGCTTTGAACATTACCCTAATTGCATAAAGTGGCTACAGAATACAAAGCATTGAAGGGGAAAAAAATGATAATGAAAAACGTATTATATCTGCACGCGGTTTATTACCTATTATGAATTCTCAGTTGAAAATCGTGGCACTAATATCAGTAAAACAACTATTCATTCATGTTTTACCTTTTTAAGATATGTGTTTTATAAATATATATACTTATGCAGATACATGCTCAACTACTTTTTGGAAACTCACTAAAGCTGGGGTAACTAACTTTCAAACCACATACAAAAAACTATGTACTCAAATCCAAGTAACTCAAACTCTGCTCTCAAAACACTTTTCACCAGCATGTTTTTGGTCACAAATTTAGATCAGCGTTATCAGACACAAAGTGAAAAGAGAGGACCACTCTCAACCAATCAGCTCCCTGTCCAAAGCATCAAATTGTGACTCACAAATAATTCTTAGCATGAAAAAAATGAATACAGCTTGTTGACTTTAAGACTCTCTGTTGCTACAAACAAAATGTATGAAAGAAGTTAGGTACCCAAGCTTTGCTGAGGTAGCGTCATTAAGAAAAAAAAAGAGAAGCAGATGTACAGCTTGTTGTTTCACATGTCAGCAATATTGGAACTATAGGGAATTCATAGAAATTTAGAACCACTGTTGTACATGACATTGTACCACTAAACATGAGAATCCCAGACCTCGTGAACATCTTCCTGCTCCAACACAAGTGTCTCTATTGTCTTCATTACATCATGTGCAGTAGATCTCATAAAGTTTCATGGTGCTTTTGTAATCGTTGATGACATGGAGCTGCTAAACAAAGATCCTAATCTGGGTTTACAGAAGACATCTCAGTGAAGTTTGACTTCCTCTTGAGTCCTGACTGCACTCAAGACCTCCTCTCCACAGACTACAGCGCCTTTGTCATTGACATTCAGACGCTCAGCCACAGTTCACTGTGTCGTTACTGAGGGGTAATTTCATTTCAAGAGGAGCACTGGGAAGTGAGCAGCAAGCATTTGGATTGAAATGTTTTATCACTGTATTTAAAAGAATCTGCCATTCCAAAGGGCACCTGAAGGCCAAACCCATTTCAGAGGCTCTTTTTCTCTTGAAAACTGCTCCGTCAGTGGAGAGCACCTCAGGTGGGCTGTAAAACTGAGTGGTTCATCATGGCACAGGACATACAGAACAGAGCCATGTAAACCAGGAAGACAGTTCTGAGACATTGGACTATTTCAGCTTTGACATAATAACAGATTTAGAACATTATGTTGAGTACTCCATTGGTAATATAAGGACATTTGAACATCCTCAGCAGACTTACAATCAGACTGCCCCCGTCATGACCATTGTGGCCCTCTTAGCACGAAGAATGCACAACGCACAGACACACTAAATTATTGATGCCACTTAACTTAGGACCCTCTAAGGTTTATGACCCTTTATGACCTGCCATCAGTGACGACATTGCTGGTAGACCTTTAAAAGACCTTTTTAAATAGTAATCCTCTTCCGTTTCCAAACGGCACTGTGGACCATAATTCTTTGTTATAACATCTGCTGTGGATTAGAACAAGGCAATTGAACCAAGGTTGACTTTCATATTAATATATCAGCTGTAATAGTGCGAGTGAATGCTGAAACAGCAGTTTCAACAATGTGTGCAGATGAAATTGTAGAGTATTCATGAGAACGTGATTTAAGACGTGAACTGTTCCCTACCTCAATTATCTGATGAAAGATATGTTTTCAGCACTGATACACATAACAGAGAACATCCCTGTTTTTGTGTAAATTGTTTGCATCATGGATGCAGTGTCATGATCCTCCTTTTTGTAAATGAATGTCCTAAACTATTTGAGCAATGCGGGATAACAATGCCTCGTTAATGAATTACTAATGTAATCAATGTTGCCATAGTGTGGTAAACTCTGTACATATTTGCTTTTCACATGGGGAAAATCTCCAAACCCAACATTATAGACATAAACCTCTGACTCTATGGTGAAAACGTCAGTGTAGCCTCTGTTAAATGAAGAATAGTCTCATGTAGGAAGTTTAGTCATGATGATGAAAGTGTATGTGACTCTGATCTTTAGTGACCGCTGTTTTGGAGGCAGACTTTTGACCTGTCTTGTTTATGATGATGTAATAAAGTAATGATAGAGTAAAGTAGTACTTAAGATATAAAATTGCTTATGAATCATTGATTGAATGGATTATCAATTCCTGTGGATGAGCTGGAAGAAGTGTGCGAGGATAGGGAAGTTTGGGGGTCTCTGCTTAGACTACTGCAGGGATGGATGAAATTGGATAAAATGGATGGGTGAATGTAAAAGTTGAATTTTTTTGTTTGAGAACAATATTTTTTTCCACTTTTCTGTGGTGGGAGAGTTTCCGTGCCTGTATGATTCTATTTAGCCAGGGAAGTACCATGATGTGTCACCTACTATGGAATTGTAAGAATGGGTCAAAATCAGATGAGAAATGTCCATATCGCGACAATAATTTGCAATACCCAATCTCATGATTTAGTATTGTTAATTTTGCCTTATAAGATTGTATTGTGTTTATTTAATATTATATGCCAACTCACATGGCAGGCACTTTGTCAGATATCGCACCAAAGCACTGGGATGTGAGTGTTTGTTTGTCTGGGAGCCGATGATGCTTTCAAGGCCTGGCCACAGGAAACGTACGGTAAACATGCTTGTGCAACCAGCTCCTCCTCCCCCAGAGGCATTTGGCTTCATGTCCTTCTCAGGCCGTTTGTCAGTGTGTGCTATTTTCTGTGACTGTGCTGGGAGATTATATATTATCCTTATTAGCGTCAGAGAGGCTGCTGCTTTGACCATTTTGCTGAATTTCAACTTGTGTAATGAAAATGAATTGCATGAATATATTGTGTGGCCTGGTTGGCAATAGAGCAGTAGCCGCACTGCACATGTGGACGTGCGAGACCGCCGGAGTGTTCTGTGGGCTAATTTTGACAAAAAGTATTATTCACTGCTCCTTATTGCTGCTTCCCTTCTCAGACAATTGTTGGGCCTCCATTGTGTTTGTCATGCTGATTTTGGTCAGTTAGTCTGAGACACACTAGGGATGTTCTCAATCTAAAAAAAACAAACAAAAAACTGTTGTTTCGACTAAAACCCTGGGTTGTCTCTTCCTTTCACACTGAGTGAACTGGCCGTTTAACCCGCTTCAGTAGGTAGTCTTTAAGAATTGTGTTAAGTGGGAAAATTAGGGCCAGATATAGCTGCAATTTAGACGGCAATAATACTAAACTGTTTTTTAGCTTGTTGCTTACATGTGAGTCAGGTAAACTAAAGAAGGTTACTTTGGCAGCGTAACAAGACGTGTAACATGAGAAATATTACCATCAAAGTTTTGCACATGCTGCTCTTTCCTGTAAAAACAGTCCTAGTTAGGCACCACATACACAGAACATTTCACTGTGTAAGGGTGGATTCATGAATATCAATTAAATAGTATTTAATATGATATGTATTTTTTGATAGATAACGATATGCAAGACAAATGACTCAAACCTGAAACACTCATACCACAAGTGAAGTTTACTAAATATGCAGCGGCCTGTGGCTCCTCCAAACACTATATCTCTGCACCAACAGGTGGACTGCCCTGACCAAACAACAGTGTGGAGATGGGGATGAAGGAACCTTTGTTGTGGGTCTATCCCCAGAACAACTGCAGGGCAGCTCAGTTATGTTGTACATGCTGGTAAACCCAACAGGAACAAAGCCTAGTTATGGATTAGTTTATTGTATATTTTGTTAAGGCCAAGGGGAACAAAACTGTAAAGTGTTGTTACCCTGCAACATTAAAACAGAGCCTCCTCAGTGCTACACATATTTTGCTTTTGCATAATTCATACTGTTTGTTCAGTGTCCAGGGCAATATGTGTTTGCCAGAAATACTAGAAACCCCACATTACAACTCTCCTATCTGCTAAAGCAGTGTTCTTGTATCTACCTTGAGAAAATTCAGAGCTATTGGAAATTGCAATCATAAAGCATAATGCCGTCTTTAAGTGCTAAAATTAATATGATTTTACAATATGTGCAACTCATATTTCAACTTGAAATATAAAAATACTAAACTCTAAAATTGTATAGAAGAATCTGAACTAATTTACCCAAGATGTGGTGTGAATAAAATACTCCTTACACCTCTTTCACAGTGATTACTAAAATGTCTTAACACATCTATTTCTGTAAATTCTTCTTGGATCTCGTGCATGTCTATTTATCTTCCAGTTTATTGGCAGCTACATATGTGCAGTTCATGAAGTTTTTTTGTCAAAATAAAGTAAACGTTTCAGACACAAACATGTAAACTCCATACATAACTGCTACATTCTCTATTTTTCAAGTTGAGATAATTTTTCCAAGTATAATTAATTGTGAAGGAGAATAACCATTATGCACATAACTAATTAGTTTGAAATTTGTCGACTATGGAACCATCAACCAAATAATGTTTAGCACTAAAGATGGGCAGTTCTAATATCTAGGTTTGTATGGTATCGTGGCCTATGTACCTGTATGTATGTTTGGAGGTACTCATACCAACTTTAAAAGATTCCCAGCCATCGTGGCATCAGCAATCTTGAAGCAGCATCATAAGGTCGTCAAGCTCATGCATCATACTGTATGCATGTTTTGCCAAAATCCGGCATAGTTACTGTACATTTGTTCACACAGTATGTCCCTAACTATAC